GGGCAGCTCCCGGGGCACACAGCAAGTTAGCCCACGGGTGCTCCTTGCTCTCAGCGCTGCAGCAATGAGGAGCTGCACCTTGCTTTGGGGTGCAGTAAGGAGGAGCTGCCCGGCTTCAGGATGCAGCGAGGAGGAGCTGCCCCGCTTTGGGATGCAGCAAGGAGGAGTTGCCCCGCTTTGGGGTCACACACCTTCCCCCACACAAGCCTTTCCCTTCCATTTAACAGCCTGTCCCAGGCAGCAGCTCACAAACCCCATAGGAACAGGCATTATGTAGACACAAGCTTTTAGTGCTCTAGCATAGGTGGACCTGCAAAGTGCCCCAAACCTTCACATTTCTCCCCCATTTCAGGACTTTGAAAAGGGACCTGAAGTGTCGGTTTCCAGAGCTCCAGGACTGCAGCCGATCTACATGAACACGCACTGAGCGGCTCCGCGCTCGGCGCCTCGCTGCCAGAAAGCCCCGTGTCTGGGAACGGGCATCCCCTGCACCTCTCCCACCACCCAGGGCGTGTTTCCCCACTGCTTCCCGAGCTCTCTCTGCCTGTCCCGTTGAGATTCCCTGTATCCCGCAGAAGCAACCCCCATCCCCTCTGTACCACACAAGACTGGGGACCCCAGCGTGCCACGGAGTCCCGCAGTGGGATATGCACGCCACCAGGCCAGCAGCGTTGTTTATCCCCACCCTGCCATGAGGTTATTAAATGAGATGAGATTGGAAGATTTGGGATGTGTTTAAAATATCCCCCAATCAGGGCTTAAAAGCCCTGCACCCCCAGTCCAGGCTGCGGGGAACCAGGGGATGCGACGCCTTGGCAGCCCCTTCTCATCCTCCACGGTTCTTGTGCTCAGCAATAAGGGGCACGTGGGGAGGAAGGGGAGGTCGGCGTCTGGTTGGAGATGTGACCTCTGTCCCCTCCCCGGCCCCAGTGACTCCGAGGTGCCCCAGGAAGGAGGATGTGCTGCGGACGGTGTGGTCACCCCCGTTCCCACACAGCCCTCAGACTTCTGCTTCTTTATTTTCACCTGGCGCTTCATTCCCTTCCCTCCGGGTCTTTGCACAGAGCGAAGGGGCTGAAGGGCAGGGTGGGGTGGAGGGAGGGTCCTGAGGGAGCCTGGCTGCAGGGGGTCCCATCCTGCTCCTCACAGCCCAGCCTCCTGTGCAGATGTCAGGATTTCAGCTGCATATCCCAGGCAGGGGAGCTGCGGAAGGAAAAGCCCCTGTTTGGGTAGGTCTCGTCATCTACCCACATATAATCATCCTGTTGCGAAATGGAAACCTACACAGCAGTTTTAGAAAGAGGAAGAAGAACCACGAAGATGGAAAGAAAAAAAAGTGGAGGGATGCTGCACAAAGGGCCTGAGGACAGCCCTGTGGCAGGAGCCTGGGCAGTGGGTGGCCAAGCTGGAGCTCAGGCCGGGGGAAAGCTCGGCTCCATCCCTGCCAACGCTCCCCCCCCCCCCCCCCCCGCCACAGGCCAGGGGAGCTCCTCTGGGTGCTGCTTGCTCCCTAGGGCAACCCGAGCTTCATCATCTGCAAGAAGCTCCAGTGCCAAATGGGGAGCAGGAGCGTGGGGGCACCCACTGCCTGGACCAGCTCCAGTGATGCAGCCATGCTCCCAATTTTCCCCTGAGCCCCAGCACGGTCATACCTGGGATGAAAAGGCCAGAGGAGGAGGAGGAGGAAGAAGCCCCACATCATACCAACCGCTCTGTCCCAGCAAGCACCACTGGGAGAGCCAACCTCCAGCCACCCAGCCACAGCCCTCGGTGCTGTAGGGCAGCTCCGGGCGATGTCTGGGTCACTCCCGCTCCCCCCTCTCCATATGTTTCACGTCTCCCACTTCCCCCCAAGACCAGCTCGGTGCTGCAGACCCCAGCAGAGCCCAGGGCTGGGGCCGGGCACCTGCACCCCTAAGAGCTGGCAGGGCCCGGCATGTCCCTCTCAGCCGAAACACAGCCCAGGAGCTGAGCTGACACCCTCCGAACGTCCGGGAGGCTGCGCCCATCCTGGCATCACTCATTAGCCCAGCCGAGGGGGAGCACCAGGACATGCAGCCTCCAGCACCCCCAGGAACGCAAGGTGGCCTCTGCAAAGGTCAAGCAAAGATTAAAGCTCCCATGCTGGGTTCGCTCCATTTTGGCGTTGGAAGCTCTGTGCAGCTCATGTGCTCCAGCATCTGTCTGCAACAGCAGTTTGGGGTGAAGATCCCTCCCCTCCTACACCCTCCTGCCAAGTGGGGTGCATAGGGTCCCACATCCCATTTCTGCAGCTGCCCACCCTCCCCGGTGTTCTTCAGACGTGCCAGTCTGCAAAAAGCGTCTCAGCTTTTCACCCGCAGCAGAAAACCCCAACCCCAAGGCGAAGGCCGGACAGTTAAAAATAACCCGGCAGCAGCGCAGCCACCTCTTGCACGAGCAGAAAAGCAACGAAAGAAGCCGAGAACACACGTCAGCTCAGCGTCCCCCGGCTGCCCCGTGCAGGAGGCTGATGCTTGCAGATCTCCAGAGCAAAGCGGGACGATGGGGATATCGCCGGGCTGGGGCTGGCTCCTTCTCCCAGGTGAGGACAGGCTCCGACCATGCTGGTGACGCTCTGGCTCCCGCTGGCATCAAGGGGCTGGGGCTGCTGAGCCCTCCCAGGGGCACAGGCTCCATGTCAGGCACCGACGGAGCCAAAGCCTCCCATCACTGCGGCCTCCTGCCTGGGGCTAAAAGCCAGCAGATGGGGTCTCCCCCAAAGTGCTTCTTTCCAACGGGAGCTGAGAAGGAGGGGCCTGGGAGAAGGCTGACTTTGCAGCCCTGTTTCTCTCCTGTGTCGCTGTGGGTTTCTTTGCAGTTTGCCAGGCTCTGGTTGTCCCCAGGGAGGTCAGCAGCCGGGCAGGGGAGACGCTCTCCCTCCGCTGCTGGTACCCCCGGGGTTATGAGGCCTACAACAAGTACTGGTGCCGGGGGGCCAGCCGGGACTCCTGCCGCAAGGTGGTGGAGACAGAGGGCAGGGAAGCACCCCGGCAGCGTGGCCGGGTCTCCATCCAGGACAACCACATCTTCTGCGTGGTCCTGCTCACCGTGGAGGATGTCTCCGAGGCAGATGCTGGGAGTTACTGGTGCGGGGTTGAGAGGATGGGCAGGGACCTGATGGAGCCGGTGACAGTGAGAGTGGTCCCAGGTAAGCCCTGGTGTCTGTCTGTCTGGAGTTTTTGCTGGCCAGGACTCTTTTTGGAAAGGCCACTGGCTCGTGGGCCAGCAGTGGCCTGGGAGGAGGCAGCGATGCCAGAAAGAACACCTGTGACCCAGTATAAACCAGTGGCAGAGGTTGGGAGGGGTGACAGGTTGCTTTCTCCTGGGGATGCTCGCAGATGCAGGCAGAGTGTGCTGGAGCCCAATGCAGAGTCCAGCCCCGGGCTGTTTTTGGGGCTCCTGGCACCCATCATGGTGCAGGCAGGATGGCGGAGCCACTGGTTACATGCAGCAGCGAGCGCTAACGCTGAGCCCCGGCGCTGAGGCCAGGGAGTGCCTGCCAAACCCGGCCTCTGACAGCCAAATGATATAATGCTGAGTTTCTAGACCAGGAAAAGGGGTAGATCCAACCCCCCCAGCCCCCAGGGAAACCTCTGGTTCACAGCGGGTGGAGAGATGTCTCGCCATGGGGAGACACAGCCCAGAGCGGTGAGGGGGGAGCTGGGCGGGCAGGTGCCGGCAGGGCGCATCCCACAGGGATGCCAGCAGGGCAGGGGCATGTGCTGGGGGGGCCATGGGCAAGTATTCGCCTGCTGCCGGAGGAGACATGGGGGACCCACGGTCACCTCCAGCAGTGCCCCCCAGGCCCTTCTTTTACCCACCCCTATCAGCTGCCCTGGCAGCCACCCCGGCCACCCCCACCCCCTGGATCTCCGCCACCGCAACAGAGCATCTCCCCACCAACAACGCCACTGCCGTGGGGTGAGCCTGGGGCCCTGGGGCACAGGGTGGGCACGGGGCAGGGCAGTGGCTCTCACCGCCATGGGCAGCAGTGGGTACCCCTGTGCGAGGGGGCTTGCGGCAACGGGCAGGATCTTCACCTGTCAGCCTGGGCATTTGGGGGTGGTGCAGTGGGGTCCCAGGCCGTTGTCCCCCCATTGCGTCCCACCCCGCGGCTGGCTGCGGAGGGGCTGCGGGAGGGCACTGGCACGCAGGGCACTGCAAAAGCAAAGCCCCAGCCTTGTGAGGGAGAGAACCAGCCCCGTTCCTCTCCCCTTGCCTCCAGCCCTGGGGGACCAGCCCTGAGCGCCCTGGTGCCCAGTGCGGTCCTGCTCTCGCTCCTGGCTGCCGCCGGCTCTGCTGGGCTCCTCTGCACCCTGCGCAGGAGGAGGGAAGGTAATGGCATCCGTGCATGCCCCATCCCAAGCACACCTCGGTGCCCATACCAGGACCTGGGGGTGCCCATGCCAGGACCTGGGGGACAAACCCACCCTGGGCACGGGGCTGCAGGGAGCTCCCCGCTCCCAGCGACACAGAAAACCTCCCCCGGTGTCTCTTCTTTCTGGCACACTGCCCCCTCACACCAAAGCCCCCGCCGCCCCCTGCAAGCTGGGCACTGCTGCGGAGCCAGACCACAGCCCCACCTACGACAATGAGCTGGACCTGGCAGAGGTGAGAGCCCCTGGTGCAGGCAGTGCAGGCAGTGCAGGCAGCGTGGGCAGGGGCCATGCAGTGTGGTTGCCCACCCTGGGCAGCCCCTGCAGCGCCCAGCTGTGCCCCAGGGCTGCAGGGACATGCTGTCCCCTTGCCAGGGTGGCTGCAGTGACATGGAGCAGGACCCCAAGCTGGAGAACGACGGTATCTACACAAACACCCTGCGTTAGGAGGAGGTGACGGGGATGCCCGGCTGACATTTTCCAGGAGGTTTCTTACTTGTCCTAGCGGAGCATCCCCCGTGGGCAGAGGGTCCCTGCGGAGCCACCCCCGGGGATGTCCTTGTTATCACCCCCGGGGACGTCCTTGCTGCGGCAGAAGAGGCAAAGGAGCGTTGCAGGAGGCGGCTGGTGCTGTCCCATCACCACGGCGTCTCGGCAGTGTGACAGCCTCTGCCCACGATGCTGGAGCCCAAGGCCACGCTGGCACTGTTCCCTGGCCTGCGGGACCCCGAAAGCCCCCTGCCCCTGCGTTGCTTTGGCAGATTGACCCACGCCTCTCGGCTGGCAAGAAACCACATCCCTGATTCCTGCACAGGCTGAGGAGCGGGATGTTTTCCCATCTCAGCAGCAAACAGATTGCTTTGGGTTCAGATAAATCCAATAAAGAAATTCCTCTGTGGGAGCTCAGTCTGGAGGGGAGAGGGGACAATCTGGTGCGCCCACAGAGCTGCTCTGCTGCTGCCATCCCCTTTGGGGGTCCCCGGGGCACCCTGGTACTGCTGGGGCTGCGTTAGGAGGGGGCAATGGGAACCGACACTCAAAGCAAGGAAGACGAGAGCAGCTGGGCAGGCGGCTGGAGCCCTGGCTGCACAGTCTTTCCAGGAAGGCTTATCAGCAGAAAGCAGGTTTGTAATCTCCAGCCGCTTCTTGAATTTAGATCTTGCTGCTATTCGCAGTGGCTCGGCTCACAGATGGTCAGCCGATTCACTGGGAACGAATGGGGCTACTTGACGATCAGAAGGAAAACCCAGAGCTGCTTCTTGCCATGGTCGGGGGACAAGGAGGGGACGGGATGGGGGGAAGGAGCAGCCTCAGCCTCCAGCAAGGCTGGGGGTTTGTGCTTTCTGCTCTTTCCAAGGGGCACTGAGGAAGAGAGCTGTCGGCAAGGCAGCTGCCAGGGAAGTGGCTTTGCTTTTTGTGTTTGGATTTCTGAAACTTTCAGTGGAAACATTTAATTTTGGGAGGAAAACAGCGTTGTCACTCAAAACCCACAGCTGTGCCAAAAAAGGCATTTTTTGGGGGAAATGAGACACTTCTGCTTGAGAAAACAAACAGAAGCAGCCCAGCTCGCACTGGCAGCCGGCTCGGGAGCCGGGGAGCAGCAGTGCAGTGGAGCTGGCTGTCCATCATCCCAGTCCATCATCATCCCAGTCTGTCATCCCAGTCCATCACGACCGGGAGAGCATCCCGGTGGTCCCAACCGGTCCATCCGCAGGGACTGACCTGCATTCGCTCTACCCCAGGCCCCGGACCACCGGTCTGGCCTGGCCCCCCTGCAAAGCCCCCTGAAGACCTTCGGGCTCTGTGCATGGGGAAGGGGCTGTGTTCCCTGCTGGGATGGGCATTGCGGTGCAAGAACCCACTGCATTTTGGCATTTTTCTGGGAACAAGCGGCTGTTTCAGAGCAAAAGCAGAAAGTGTCTCTCATGAGACACCCCCAGGGTGAGTCATGGTGCCTGGGCGAAGGGGAGGAAGCAACCGCCCTTAAAAAAGACAACTAGGGTCTGCGGGTAAACACTGCCCAAGGAAGCGAGGGGAGAAGGAGGTTTGGGAAGCTCCTGAAACGCCCGGGTGCATGTGAACCTGGCTCCGTCCCACAGGGTGCTTTGTGAATAACCACGGGGAAAAATCTGCATCGGGAGCGAGAAGCTGGAAAATGAGGATTTTCCTGGTTTGGACCCTTTTCCCAGGTGAGACCCGGGAGCACAGGTCAGGCGGTCCCCACCCCACAGGCTCTGGCAGAGCTGCAGGGAGGCTGGGACTGAGCCAGCCCAGGAAGCCCACCGCGGTCACAGCAAGAGCCCAGCTGATGCCGTCCTTTTCTTGTGGCCAGTGCACAGCTACAGAGGGTGATCTCTGAGATATGCTTGTATTGCTGTCATATGAACCCTGGTAATAAGGCTTTTTGCTCGTTTAATAACATGCACGCTTGACAGGGACTCTTTTTTTAATGACTGGGGACATCTCATCTCAGTACCGCTCCCCGGCGTGGCGGGTACACCGAGACAGCCTCCCTCGGGACAGGGTGCCCCTGAGCATCCCGGGCTCAGATCCCTCCCGGTTCCCCGAGGCGATGCCGGTACACCTCTCCCTGTCCCCTGCAGGTGGCTGGGCGGTGACAGGCCCCACGCAAGTGATGGCCGAGCAGGGCGGCTCGCTGGCTGTGTCCTGCAGCTATGAGCCGGGCTACGAGTTCCACCCCAAGTACTGGTGCCGCCTGGGCTTCCTCTGGTTTTGCTTCACCTACATTGTCCAAACCGACGGCTCGGAGGTGATGGTGACGCAAGGCAGGGTGTCCATCGGGGACAACCATGCAGCACGCTCATTCACGGTGATGCTGGACGGTGTCATGCTGGGAGACGCAGACTGGTACTCCTGCGGGCTGAGGAGGAGCCTGTGGTTCAACCTGTGGCACAACACCGAGGTGATGGTCTCCACAGGTAAAGCCGGGCTAGGAGCAAAGCAAGGATCTGCAATGGAGCCTGTCACATGGGTCACAGCGCTGGGGACAGGGCCTCTTCAGCCAGGGGAACACAGGGGTTGTCAAAGCAGGAACAAGCTCCTTGCAGGCACCGACACTGGCTGGAGGTTGCCCCAGTGCAAATTTGGATGAGGAACAGAAGAGGCTGTACGGAGCTTCGTGCAGAGCCTCTCCCTCGCTCCCATTCAGCGTCTCTGCTTCTACAAGCCCATCCTTTGGGGTTTCCAGTGCCTCCCAGTTAAACCCCCCTTTTCCTTCCTCCTCCACCCCAGTGTCCAGTGCATTGCTGGGGACCCTCATTTGCACCTCCTGCACCTCCACAGCTGAAGTCTTGGGGCAGAGACCCCCCGTGCAGGGGGCAAGACGGGGTGTGGGAGTCTCCACTTTGCTCTGACTCTCTGTGTTTTCTTCGCAGCTGTTTCAACCACAACCGAGGGCAGCGATGTGAGCCCATTGGCCACCGACCCCCTGTGCTCCACAGACTGTGGAGGGGAGCCTCCAGTGCTGTGAGTCAGGGCCTGGGGTCCGAACAAGCCCCCAACAGCATTCCCCAGCCTAAGACACCTTTTCCCCTGCACGCATCCCCCAGCCCTGGATCTCCCTGGCTGCAGCAGCCCCAAGGAGCATCCTGGGGGCAAGCGAGGTGGCTGGTGGACATGCAAGTGCCCCAGTCCCCATCCCCGTTGCCCAGACCCTACTCAAGCTCTAGCATCATCTCTTTTCTCCTGCCCAGGTCCCAGCTTGGTGTCACCTACCTGCTGCTCTTCCTCAGCGTGAAGGTGCCTGTGGCACTGGGCCTGGCATGTGGGGCAGCCTGGGTGAGGAGACGGCGCAGGAGCCATGACCAGGTGGCCGGCAGCACCGTGGCACCGGGCTGCCCCCCCACCCCGGAGCCACAGGGACGCCCTCCTGTCCCCTTGCCCCCTGCCCTGCCGGTGCTGCACCACCCGTCACGGCCGCCCCACACCGGGAGCTGCTCGGCACCGGCTGCGCCTCCCCCCGTCACG